ATATTTGTCATACAACAAGTGACACGTACCTCATGTGTATCACTACACAGCCCCCCCAACATTAGGCAGGCCACTTCACCTCCTGTTTTAAAATCTCTGCTAAAAACGCACCTGTTTTCACTGACATTTAACACAGTGTGACTTGATTTACTTTTTCTAATGTTTTGTGTTTCATGTTTTACTTTTGATGCTTTTAATTCAGTTTTTTTTAATTACTGGCATTAATTTTAACTGTTAAGCACTTTGGAAACAGCTGCTGTTTTTAAATGTGCTTTTTAAATACTTGACTAGATAGTCCAACAATATGTCACGTGAATCAATCGCTTCTATTGAAAAAAGTACATTTTAATGTGTTAGTCCAATCAGAAATAACATGTTACTCCACATAAATGGAAGACTATAATAGTTTATAACTTTTTCATAAAACTCAGTGATAAAATATCTGAACTGTTGCTTTATTATCCCTTAATAATATGCGATAATTATAACTTTGAAAGTAGACTTTTTTAATAAAGAGGACATGTGATGAACATTTTTACAAATGTCAAACCTTTATCTAATTTAAGCAGATTAGTTTACCTTAATTAAAAAATGATGTGCCTTTTCTGCATCTTAGCCTAAGATTGTGTGGATGAAGAACAAAATGATCATCGGTGAGAATCCCAAATACTTGATGCAAAACAACCAGGGAGTGCTGACCCTCAACATTCGGAAGCCGAGCACTTTTGACGGGGGCAAATACTCCTGCATGGCTGTCAACGACTTGGGCAAGGATGAAGTGGAGTGCAAGCTAGACATCCGAGGTGAGAATAGATAAAAGCCTGCAAGGCTGGGAGGGAACAGGACATGAGTGTGTGGGGGTGTATGGCATTTTACTGCAAGATGACAGTAATGAGATTTAAATAACAGACACTCAGAGCAAAAGAAGGAAATGAGTTTTTGCTTATAACTACATGAAAAACCAGCTTGGGCATTAAATAAACTAAAAAAGGGTTGTCCCTAACTTGTTCCAACACTCTCCTTTCTCTTTAACCCACAGTTGCCACAGATCCAGACAAGAAATGAGAAGCCAAACAGCAAAGAATGTGAAGATGAACCAAACAGTGAATAATGAGTGAATGTTACCACGCAGGGTACAAGTTATACAAGGAGTGAAGCAAATAAAATGTATTGATGCCTGCGACAATTTCAATTATTTTTGAGTTGCATCTTTTTTTCCCCCAATATTCAGATTTGTTTTATTTGCGTGAAACAAACAAAAATCATACAGAACGCTCAGAGAAAAACAAAAGTGCTCCTAATGCTTGCACACAACACATATTAATGACATAAATACATTTGATTTGCGGGAATATCTTCCATGCTTGTTTTCGTTTTTCAGCACAGATGTGTTAATCCTCTGCACTACATTTCCCTGGAATAATGTGCTCTCCTCCTGTGGACTGCCACCCCAATACTGAACAACAGCGCCGCCGTCAGGAGTCCTACTGCCACTGCAAGAGCTGTTATCATACCTGTGGGGGACAAATATTACAAACATGCGAATATGAGACCTTCTAAAAGTTTTCCTTCCTTCAAATCTCTGCTGTAATTGAACTCCTGCAATTAATGTAATAATTTAAGGCCTAGCATCCCTTGAAGGAATGCCTATTGCCCACCATGTAAATCAATATGGCCGCCACAACAACGTCTTGCAAGATGTGTTAATACCAGGAGTATGGTAAATAAATAGACTGTACTTATATAGCACCATTTTATCTTATCAAGATACTCAAAGTGCTTTACAACACAATCTGTGCCCTCATTTACCCATTCATACACTCTACTAGATCTATAGAAAGGATAATCAGAGCTTTATCACATTCACACACTGATGGGACACACATTGGAGGCAATGAGGGGTTCAGTGCCTTGCCTTTCCCAGGGACACTTCAGCATGTGACTGCTGGTGGACTCTAACCCCCAACTCTCCCAGTGGAGGATGACTGCTCTAACCACTCAGCCACAGCTGCCCATGGGTATGGGTTGAGAGTGACTCCCAGCTGCCACATTAATTTTACCACATTATTTGTAGTTTTGAGAAGCTTGTAGATTAGCTGCGGCAGCCATCTTAAATTGAGTTGACTCCAAAAATGAACGAGTTACTGAGAGTTTCGTTAAAATCCACCCATGGGTCACAAGATAATTTCCTAACGGGTGGACTGTGCTGACTTTAACTATTTTAGCCAAAATTTAAGCAAAATCTTTGTGCTAGTTGCATTTTGATATGTTCAGAATCACTCTCATTATTATCTTATCTAAAGGGATGCTAGGCCACACCAAATTTGAGCACAACGTATAGGAAATTGACTGAGTCATGGCCACACTTGTGTTTGCTAAGGTTACTTCGCAGTGGCAGCCATCTTGAATAGATTTGATACAAAAAAAAAAAAAAAAACAACAACACAGTTTTAAACACACATACTCTCTGAGAGTTTCATTCAAATCTGTGCACTGGCTCATGAAATATTTTGCTCATGATACAGCCAAATGAACACAGACAGCTAAATTATTGCACCTTGATATCTCTTGTGTTGAAGCAACATACTGAGACTAGAGAAATTTAATTTTCTTCAAAAATGCAGTGCTTATTGCTGAAGAACTTGCTGACAAACGGCTGAAAGTAGCTAAAAACATGGTGAAATTTTGCTGAAATTGTAGAACAAGTCAAAGTTAGCAGAAGAAAGAAGAAAGAACATATATTTGCTGAATTTTGGTTTTAAAAAGCAGAAATGATCACAAAACAGTAAAGTAGCTAAAAAGCTGAAATTAGCAAAGAAAATAGCTGAAAAATAGCTGAAAAGGCAGGAATAAACTTAAAATACCTAACTAGAAGAATGTGGAGAGAGCACTGTTGTGCCCAATTAGGTTTAAAGAAGTAGAAGTAAGCACAAAAAGTGGAAATTATCTGGGGGAAAAAAGTAGAATTTTGCACAAAAAACAAACAAACAAAAAAAAAACTGCTGAATAGTAGCTAAAAAAAAGAAAGAAGTTTAAATTACCAGAAGGGAGAGCACATTTTTGCTGAATTAGGCTGAAAAAAGTTGAAATGTGTGACAAAAATGTGGATTTAGCTGAAAATGCTGAAATAAGAATAATAATTAAAAAAAATACGCTAAATAGTAAAAAGCTGAAACTAGCAGAAATAATCTGAAAGGAGCATAACAAATTTAAATTAGCAGAAATAACAGAAAAAGCACAAAAATGATGTATCATAATTAGCAGAAAGAATCTGAAAGGATCACAAAGCAGCTGAAATTAGCTGAAAAATGTTTCAGTTTACACAAGGAAGCTGAAGCAGAACCAATATAAATGTGAAAGGAGCAGTAAAAGGTTGTAAACGGATCTAAAGCTTTGAAAGGTGTCAAATTCGCTCAGTTCATTTCATGTGAGAAAAAAAGTGGCAGAAAGGCTAAATAATTCAAAAGGCTGAAGGTGCATCAATACCAAGTCACAGCAGGATTGTCCTGAACGAGCTAACATTTTAATTTATGATTTGTTAATATAGCACAAAAATTGTGGAGCAAAAAAGATGCCAAAAAACGGATGAAAGAAAAATGGATCACAATAGTGTGAATGCTTCATAAACATTCACACAAATTTAGGACAAAATGTCTCACCTGTGCTTGACCACTTTGTATTGAAGCCACATTCAGCGTCCCACTCCTGTGGCATAACGTCCTGCAGCAGCTCAGTGAGCATGGATAAGGGGCAGGGGTTTAACCCACTGCATCCTGGCACTGGGTTGGGGTAGGGGTCATGCTGGGACTCGTTGCGGTAATGCAGCTCCACTGAGTAGGATCTGGGGAATTATTAGCACAACGTGAGGACACACAGTGGTGGGAAGTGTTATGCAAACCTGCACTGATTTAACCAGTGTGGAGCTGGTCTGATGCCCAGCTTCCACTGAATTGAAAAGGAAAGGATGTTTGAATGGTTCATTCAACTAAAAGATGGTAATAACCCAAAATGTGTGTGTGTGTGTGTGTGCGTGTGTGTGTAATGCATCCGACCTAGATAGCTTGCTTGAATATTCTAAGAGAACGCGCACAAAATAAAAACTGGAAGGAAGTCATTACCCATCATACTCCTGGTAAAACTCAAAGAGCTGACAGGCGGCGTACGGAGGAAGGAACCCGTTGTAGACGTCCAGAGCTGCCTGGAGGGTGATGAGTGTGGAGTCATGCTAGGATGTGGAGCGAACATTAGGAATGACAAGGAGGTGAGGAGACGGGAAGCAGCAGAACGCAGGACGGTTGATAAATTTGCAAATGCGCACCAAAAGCGATGCACTTAAGCAGCGAGCTTACAGCGGAGTACATGATGAATTTAAGAGGGCGGCCTTGCTCCACAGCATCAGAGAAGTTCCTCAGGATGGCACTTAGCAGAATCCCTGGTAAATTAACGACAGCGCAAATTAATTTACACAACCTTTTTGACTTTGTCGGGCTGCTTTTTCTCAGCATTGTCAGTTTTGTGCTATTAGCTTCGACGTGCTGATATTCTTCTGGGAAGGACACACTTTACACTGTCTGAAAGGACAACAACGCCTAAGCCAGCACCCAGCTTGTATCTAATATTTAGCAACGAATCACCTCTGATGTGAAATCTCACCTCCAGAGAGCCTGGCCTTCTCTTTTCGCTTGTGACTGAGGATGCTGTATGTAACCTCAAAGGATGCGATTCTCCTCAGGGTGTCCAGGACGTCATGGGTAGCCCAGCGAGGGAGAGTCAAGTTATGGATCCTCTGTGCAAAGAATGAAAAAAAAGCCCTCCATCTTTATCCTAATAATAACAGAAGAAAACCCACAAACAGAAGAGAACAAGGTTTAAAATGTCGACACATCGTTTCTGTTGTTCCGTCTATTTTTAGAGCGAGTTGGAAGATAACAGATGCTCATTTTGCAAGTGTGAATGAGCGTTTTCAACCTGGCCCAGAATCCACCCGTGTCATAATGTTTTAATTACTATTTCCATATGCGCTCCTGTTCATGTCTGAGTGGAAGCAGGGAAACATCCCCCTCTGTTTTCAGGCCTCCAGAGATGAGTTGAGGAAAAGCTGAATTTTTTATCTTCTCATTTCTGTTTTGTCTCAAAGTACTTTAGAGTTGGTGAATTATTCTTGATCCTATTACTTGGACTGACAGAACTGTGCAGAAGTCTTGAGTCATTTCTTTATAATATGCTTTTAAAAAGCCAGACGTTCTTGAACTCGTTGAATGTAGACTTCATCAAAACGTCTTTAGGCTTTTTGACAGTCTTGCCAAGTTTCTCCTTTGACTTTGGCTGAGTTTTATCTTTATTTTATTGTATTTGTTGCATTGAAGCTACATATAAGGAAATTAAAGAAGGCCCTGCATTCCTTGAAGGATTAAGTATTGCCTGCTGCCTTCCATGCCGCAGTTTGAACAAGTCATCTCATGCTGAAAATCAAGTTGTAGCTGCTTCAGACAAACCTTGAAAATAACATAATGATCAATGTCATGTGATATAGGGCTTCAATTTTTGGTGCGAGCCCCCAGCTCGACCCGAACTGACCCAAAATTCAGGCCAGGTCAGGCCAAATGTATGTGCTTGATGGGCGGTCTGGGCCGATCTCAGGCTTTTGATGTGGTTTTACAAATCATACAGCACAAAGAGAACTAAATAAGAATGCACAATATAACATTGTGTTAATCTACTTGTTGAGGAGGAGGCAGTAAGTTTACATGTTGAGGGTGAAAAAGAAAGAAAATAGAGTGCAGAAGTTAATCAGACTGTGAAAAGAGAGAGTATTTTTTTTTGGTTCGGGCCTGTAATTACAATTAAATACAATAGTTGGGTCAGGCTCATAAAAAATGCCATATGGGCCGGGTCGGATTTTTTATGCCTGAATGCAACTTTAATGTGATATTAGAAGATGTCACTCTCAAAATATGTTTTTTAATCAGTTTCATCATCTGCCACCAGCAATTTTAGCTTAACATCTACTAAGACTGACCAAATTATGGCCATGTTAGGTAATGTTGATTAGCTATGGCAGCCATCTTGAATTTGATTGACATCAAAATATTCTAAAATTTAAATGTACATTCACTGACTACTTTCCGAAGCTTTCATTCAAATCTGTCGAGTGATTCATCAGATAATTTTGCTAACAGACAAATAGAGTTGACTTCAGTTAACGCTAAATATTAAGTGTGAAGCTCACTCAATGAAACACACTGGGAGTATGTTTTGTGAATGACTCTCAGCTACTACCACACCAAAGTTTATCACAGCATCAGTCTTTTTTTTGTGTGTGTGTTTTTTAATGGTCCATTTGCTAAAATGTACAATGATTTGGGTTGACTCCAAAAGTTTATCAGTTGTAGATGCACATCCAATGATTATTGAAAGCTTTATTAAAATTCATTCAGTGGTTCATGAGATTTAATAACAGACACACAAACAAAATCATTATTATCTCCTGGAAGGCAACAGTGGATGCTAAATAGTGGTGGTTTAAAAACTTATAAGCTTTCTATAATTTATGTGTTTGCTGAGTGACATACCTGACAGGTGAGCGTGTCGTACACCCTCCATATTTTTTTACCAACCAGTCTGGACACCGGGTAGCCTGTGTAGTTAGAAAGTGTCTCCACGAAGTTCTACAAGAAAAGGAGATGATCAAATCAGGCTCTAAACGATGCTTTCACTTTAACTTAGATTTGTTTTGTGTCTTATATGGTACACTGATTAAATATCTTTATGTAGGTGTTTATAAATCAAACGTGCGCAGGCCAGCAGCTCACGTTAACAGAAACAGTTGAGAGACTTTGTCTTGTGCTGCGAGTCCGACAGCTCCACCTGTTTCTTGCATATACCTTACAGGTACAGCAGAGGGTGTTAAGATTTAACACAAAGAGGCCATGGCCTGATCTCAGACACCTCCTCAGCAGGCAGTGCACGGGGCTCGGTTTAATTAAAACTGTTTTATTGTAATTCTTCATCTAATTTGAACCAACCGTTAATTAGTGTCTCGGAGAACGTGAGAGAAATTGCACTGTGCAGCTTTTTGCAGACACTGGAGTCACCGTGCCTGAGAAAAAAATCAGTGAGAGGACATGGTGCATAACTAACACGTCCACTGGAAGTGCTGATTACGCTGGCACCAACAACTGTGAAGTATAGATATTTCACTGAAATGTGCACTTTTAAGTCGGTGCAGCTTGTTTAGAGCTGAAGGCACCGATAAAAGAAGCAGCTGAGTTTGAAATAAATGTTGATAAATCTCATGTCTAGAATTGAGTTGGTTACATTTTTTTTTACTACTTAACAGGCACGGTTAAGTGACGATCTGAGATGGAAGCAGAGGTTTGTTTTTTATCCAGCACTGATGTGGAGCGTTTTCTCTCTCTGTGCTCTATCTTACCTGGTGGGCTCTGAGGAACCTCTGGTAGGGGGCACTCTCGAAGGTCTCTGTCATCAGGGACCTGAACCTGGAACAGTCTTTCCCTGGAGACTTCAGCAGCTTAAAAGTTCAAAATAACAGCAAGAAAACAATATTGGTTTTAGATTTTAAACCAGTGCAGAATCGAAGCAGACCAGTTTCGCAGCTGAAGTGAAAACTGACAGCAGAGTGAAGATGAGCACTCAAATGAATTTATGCATACAGCTGTGTATGGATTCTGGATGAAAAGGAAACATGTATTTGCTGCAGCAGCCCACCTTGTCCTGGGCCCTGGGGATGGTGTGCACCGAAATGGGACGCCACAGTAACTGGGGCATGATGGGAGGCGGGCGCCTGGCAGGAAGGAACATCCCAGCGAGGCAGGCTTGGGCGCTCATCAGAGTGCGGTCGTAGTCTGTGCTCCGGACGTATAGCTGTTGTAAACATGGATGAAAAGAGGCATTCAAAATATTGCATGTGCTGGTACTGATGATGTCTTCCTTCAAAATGGGAAGCCAGTTTGCTTTACCTTTTTATTATTGTTATGTTATTTTATTTTTTTAATCATTAAAGTGATTGGTCAGTTTTTTCAATTTGTCAACTTTGAGCTGTGACATTAGTCATAGGGCACAGAGGGTGTAGAAAAGGACAGAAGTCATCCTCCATGCTAGGCTAATGGCTTTTCACACAATCTCCCATTTCATTTTTGTTTTTCAGGCTCAGAAAACAATTAGTTCTCCAAAATGACATATCAGTGTGAACATAAAGCTACATTAGCTAATCCAACAAAGTTCAGTCGGATCATCTGGACGGTTTCTTTTTTGTTGAGATGTTTCATCATTCATCCAAAGGACTTCATCAGTATGAGAAGCCATAAACAAACTGTGTCCCACAAGCAGCACACTCCCATAGTGGACCAACAAGTTTGCTGGTGATCAGATGGTTTCTGGGGCCCGCCCTCTCCCCCGTAAACTCCTCTCTGGCAGCCATAGCCAAAGTGGCTTAAAACATCAAAGTCCATGCTCAATAATCCAGGTAAAAAAGTTCAGTCAGGTCATCTGGACGGTTTCTTTTCATCCTTCATCCAAAGGAGTTCATCAATATGAGAAGCCACAAACAAACCGTGTCCCACAAGCAGCACACTCCCATAGTGGACTAACCAGTTTGATGGCGATAAGATGGTTTCTGGGGCCCGCCCTCTCCCTCATCGACTCCTTTTTGGCAGCCATAAGCAAAGTGATTTAAAACATCAACGTCCATTCTCAATAATCCAGGTAAAAAAGTTCAGTCAGGTCATCTGGATGGTTTCTGTTTTTGTTGAGACATTTCGTCTTTCATCCAAAGAACTTCATCAATCTGAGTTTCTAAACTTTTCTACCTGGATTATTGAGCACAACCCATTAGCTAATATTAAATTTCAGTGATTTTGTCTGTTTAGTTTCTTGCTATTTTGGAGAACAAAGATCAATCTCAGAAATTCTAAAGTAGTTCATGTCAACCTTTTACATGAAACTTTACACTGTCATCAATGTCATATTACATGTTTATTCCAGCAGAAGTATCATGATAATCCAAGCCATCTTAAAAGAAAAGGCTAAAGCTAATTGTTGCTGCCTTTTGACCTAGCAAAAACAAATTGCAAACATGCAAAGACATTTTCCATGTAAATACACTTAATAGAGAACTGACAGGAATGTACATGTTTTTTAAACAGTATTTGTGCAAATCTCTTTGAAATTTAAGAGAATGAAATTGTGAGACGACACGGAGATTAGCTGTTAGATTGTCTATATATATATATATATATATATATATATATATATATATAT